CAGGTCTAGCCAACGTGTTTAGTCCCGATCTGGGTTTTATGTTTACCTTAGGCCAAGCGTCTGAGAAAAGTGAAGAGCATATCGGTAATTTTAGAGGGAAGAAGGGTAGTGAAGAGCGGGTGAAAGTGGAGAAGGAAAAGCCTTGTTCCAGCTTGGATTCCGACTTGCGAAGTAGTGATTTTGTGTTTTCCAGTGGTGCGGTTTCTGTTGCTAACAACGGAGAGAAAGATGAGAGATTGATGAATCATATTGGGGAATATAGCAAAGAAGGTCGTTTCAGGGAGGAAGTCGAAACATATAGCCGAAGTGAAAACGGGGATAAAGAAGAAGATGGAGATGAGAGTAAGAAAAACTACAATCATTGGGTAGACAAGGATCCACTTGCAGATTCTATCAGGAATTTTGCGGCTCTGCAGGAAGCTCTCTGGAAAGGTTTGCACACTTATCTTGATCTCAATGCCCGCTTCCAAAGTATCCGAAAGCAAATCGAGTCTTTATGTTCTAAATGTTTTATATGATTGTATTCTAAACTAACAACTTTGCAATTGTAACATATGCAGAGGTTCAAAGTTTCCAGGAGCTGGGTAAGGATTTTATACCACTACATAAAAACGCCAACGAATTGAGTTCACCAGATCAGTCAGGAAATGAAAATTGTAGGGAAGAGAACTCAGCATCCTCAGGGTCACATGCACTGAACCTAAAGCAGACGGTAAAACACTTGGAACACAAACTCGAGGAAGCAAGAGCTGTTCTCGAGGCAAAAGAATCCAGGATTCAAGAACTCGAAAACTCAAAGATTGAATCAGAACTCGAAGGCATTTTCAAGAGAAAGATCGAAACTGAAATCGAGCTTTTGATGCTCACAAGATCTCTAAAATCACTACAAGCACTGAAACAACCTAAGAAGGTACATTTTCTGATAGAAGATCCTGAGTCAAACCGTGGAGACATCTTAGGAAAATCATGCAAGTTCGGTTTCTATTTCTTGACACAATTGATCTTGCTCGTCTCCATACTTTGGTTTCTGGTCCTCCAATTCTCTCCTGCTTCACTATTAGTTATACCAACTTGAAGAAACAAAAAACTCCATAGATTTCGTTGTTCTTGTTGTGTTACCAAAATATACAATTTTTGTTTTCTTCAGATTTTCATTTTTTGTAATAATAAATCTCTTTTAAGGATATTGTCCCCATGGTTTTTAGAAAAATTTCAAAAAATGTCACTTTTCAAGTGATATTTTACAAAAGTGCCATCTTTTTACAATCTTTATAAAAATGCCACTTTTCAAAATTATTTATTCATTATATATCATGATAAATTTCAAAAAATGCCACTTTTCAAGTGTCATTTTACAAAAATGCCACACTTTTGAAATCTTTACAAAAATGCCACTTTTTCAAAATTATTTTTACTTTATATTATTTATGTTTGGGTTAATTATGTTCTATTAGGGTTTAGTTTTGAGTGTTTAGGGGGTTTTATGTGTCAAAACATTTTTTAGGGTTTAGAATTTTAAGATAGAAGCTTTATAAATTTATAATTAGTGGCATTTTTGTAAATGGACACCCCTAAGTGGCATTTTTGCAAATGTGCACATAAAAAGTGGCATTTTTGTAATTGCCCCTTATATCATTTATGCTTGGGTTAACTATGTTGTATTAGAGTTTAGTTTTGAGGGTTTTAGGGGTTTTAGGGGTCAAAAGATTTTTTGGGGTTTAGAATTTTAAGATTTAGGCAGTGTTCTAAAAAGCGTTCTAGGCGTTCGCCTAGGCGGCGCTTAGGCGCTAGGTCCCTATAGACCGTGGCGATTACCGCTTTTGCCGCCTAAAATATTAT